AAGCAACTACTAATAATTGGATTGAGAGTCCAGAGACTTGATTCTGAGGCTTCTGGCACATTATTTAATTTCTCTGAGCATTAGTCTCCTCATGTATAAACTGATACTGTTGGACTAGGAGATGATTTGTAATACCCTATGGTTCTACACTCCTGGACCTCCCTATACCAAGATGTATATTTAGTTCATAATACAGCTGTATTTTTTCTTTAGAGTGTTGGTCTGAGTTTGGGATCTTGAGAACAAGAGGAGAAAATAATACTTTATATTTTATAGTACTTTGTACTTAGTAAAGAATTTTTATATACATTACCTTCTATGACTTTTTTAAGATGGGAAAAATAATACTTCTATCAGTAAGGGTTCTGGCAATGAACAGATGGTATGCTCATATAGGGTAGTTTGAAGGTAAGGGAATGAAAAGACCATTTACAAAGATGTGGGCAGGATTTAGGGAAACTACAGGACACAGCCCCTCAACGGGGAGCTGTTTCCACTCCTTAGCCTAAAGTTGGGGTAGGTGAGGATCTCCCAACAGAAACTGTGTCCTAGGGTAAAGGTAAATTTTGGTGACCTAGTGGCAAGGAATCTAGGGAAATAAATACTCTGTCTTGCTCTCCTGTCTTCTGATCCTCTGTTGGTGACTTCCTTGGCTAAACTCAACTAGAGGCAGACTGAGGGGGAGCCCACTGCTGCAATCCTCTGAGAGGGCCTTGAGAGTACAGGGCTGTGGGGGAGGGGTGACAATAGAACTGAAAGGGGGGCACAGATAGAAAACAGGTGACACACTTACTATTGCTGCTTTACAGGTAATGAAATAGTGGCTCAGAGAGTTAAAGGACACAGCAGAAAGGAAATTGCTGGTTAGCAGAAGCATCAGAATGCAAGTTTTCTGCTTCTTAGATTCCTGCTTATAGTCTTCACAGGCTTCTTGTTTTGTGAGCATGAAATTAAAATTCTTTACCAGGTTTTCCAAGACTATATGATCTGCCTTCTGCTTGCCTTTCCAAATTCATCTTATAATACCATCTCCCATTCTGAGAATACTGGCTGCCTTTCTCTCCCTCCAATTATGTAATATCATTTTCCTGTTTCCAGGTTTAGCCTCTGCCTAGAGTACTTGTCCCACATGCCTTCGCACATGGCTAATTCTCACTAGATGTCAGCTCAAATGTCCCTACTTACAGAGTCCTTTCCTGACCATCTCAACTAAAATGTACTCTTCCAGTGAGTTTTTATTTCCTCTTCCTCTTTATTTTCTTTCTAGCATTAGCTCAATCTGTATTTTTCCTGACTGATTGGTGGATATGGTGTTTGCTTGCCTCCTCCTCTGGAGGCAGGGCAGCTGTCTGTCTTCTCATGTCTGTCTTCTTATTCCCAGCACTTGGTCTGGAACCACTAAAGAATCTTAATACATTAGTGAATACTCCCTATTATAAGCAGTACTCCAAGGGAAGAAGAAAAGAACAAAGGTTACCAGTACTTGACTGTATTTTGAGGCAAGTGACACGCTTTCACCATCCCTACCCTCTCTAGCGTCATCAGGTTTGCCAATCAATTGCATCTTGTTCTTGTCATTCAGAGATTATAAACATCAGTTTTGATTCTTATTGGGGGTGGGGCTTCTTTACAATAAAGATGGTCATTAAACTAGGTAAGTGTGAAAGCTGTTAAGTCAGGGGTTCCATGTACTGTTAAATTAATCTTCCGTCTAAGACTTAAGGTTTCTTGGAATGAGGAAGTAAGAAAGAAGAAGGGAAAAGAGGACTTATTAGTTAGGCATTTGTGAGTTTAAGGATGCTGGTAATGAATTCATTGATAATTTTTATACCAGTTTATAAGTACAATAAAGGTGAACTGAACCCCAGGCAGTTCTTCTGCATTGTAGGTGCCCATAACTGAGTAGAAATTATGAGGCATCATTGACAGTACTGCTTATGATGCAACTGGGAACAAGCTGTTTGGGAATAAGAAAAATGTAACCATTGGCAAGACACAGGGGTGCACTGTGTTCTGGTTTCAGAGGCCTGGGTGCTATCTGCTCTCTATTTTGTTTCTTAAATTGACTTTTAGTTCTATGGAACTATGAACTACTATGTTGAAAAATTGCAAAGTCAATGGATCACTGGAGATTTAAAAAAACAGTCTTAAAATTAGACTTAAAGTTTCTGTCATTTAGGATCAAACTCTTCATTATTTCTACTTCACCACAAACATGGTTAACAATCCTTAAAATCAACTTCAGTATAAAAATTATTATAGAAAATAACTTTCAATTGGGAATCTAAAACCTATAGTCTCTTCCCCACGTAATAATTTATCCCATCGAAACGATAGTATCTGTGATAAGATTATTTATGACTTATTTTTTTAAATGAACCAAACTCCTATTATAGTATAGCAGGATATATTGTTAGTTAACTTACTGTTCAGAATTCTGTGAGGATGACACAAGTTTTCTGGCAGCTTTTTTCATACTTTTTAGACTCTCTATGAAATAATCTTATTGCTGTCACTATTTATCTATCATTTTCTATCTACCTACCTATCTATCATCTCTATTTGCCCTCTCCCTAATCTATTTATATACATACCAGTATCATTTATTTATATACACACAAACACAAATCCAGACAAACTCTGGGTTAGTCCCCCAGGTTTTCATCATTTGAGCTTTTAAGCTTCAAAAATCTAGCTTGCCCTGTTGTTACAGTAACTAGCTCTTATGTCAGATTATCCTATTATTTCTTTCAGTTTCTAATAGCTATACTTTGGGGAGGTACACTATCTTAGTAAAATTTTGAGTACTTCATCGTTCACTACCGTCAAGAACTATTTCTTGAAAACTATTACAATCAGTTTTTATTATTTTAGAACCAGTAACTTGAAATGTATACACCAGATTTTTTTTTTGCTCTGCACAATATGGTGGGTGATAGAGATTCAACAACAATAAACAAAAACAGGCACAGTGACAGCCCTCATCTCTCTGTCAGAGAACCCAGGAAGGCTTCCCTAAAGAAGCATGGTCTGAGTTAAAACCTGAAGGATTAATAAGTGTTAGCTGAGTGCAGAGGGGAAGATGAGGACATTATAGGCAGAGGAAAGAGTATGAGGAAAAATCCCCATTCCAGGATGGAGTGTGGCACATTCCAGGAACTAAGAACTGCCATTTTTTTAAGATCGAGATCTGTCTCTAAAGTCATTATGAAAAAGACTGATTTCCTTAATAAGCCAGGCACAAAGTTCCATCTCATTATTTCTTAGTCACACCTTATGACATGATTAAAATTTCTGTCACTAAATCACTAGTATTTTAAAACTCCAATGTCTAAATCACTAGTATTTTAAAACAACGTCTAAATGTCTAAATCACTAGCATTTTATTTTTTTAAAAAGATTTTATTTATTTATTTGACAGACAGAGATTACAAGTAGGCAGAGAGGCAGGCAGAGAGAGAGGAGGAAGCAGGCTCCCTGCTGAGTAGAGAGCCCGATGTGGGGCTCGATCCCAGGACTCTGAGATCATGACCTGAGCCGAAGGCAGAGGCTTTAACCCACTGAGCCACCCAGGCGCCCCATCACTAACATTTTAAAACAATGTCACTAAATCACTAGTCCTTTAAAACTCCAATGTCTTTCATTTATCAACACTTTTGACTTTTGGAGGAGAATTAAGCATACATAGAGTCTCAAAGATATAGAATAAAGGAAATGTTTGCATTAGTGTATTTGATAAAGTGATCTGAGAGACATTAAGTTTGTTCTTACCACACGTATGAATATGATATAACAATAATCCCTGCAAATTACGTTAAGGTGTATCTAACCCAGTTGGTGATTGGCTCCTCTACTCCTTCTACACCAGCCTCTGTTCCTGTGTAGCAGAAGTAGAGGCTAAAGCTTTATCTTCCAGGTGGTGGCTGAGGTGGGAGAGAGTAAATAGTAGATCATCCAGTCTCAGGAAGCCAGGAGATAGCAGATAAAACTCCATGACGCCTTATTTTCTGGCTAAATCTCTTGAGATTCCTTAACTATGAGTTTCTTGGACTCCCTGACACACTGACCTGAAGTCCCAGCCAGTCCCAAGACCCAGAATCATCCTGACCCATACTTAAACTGGAAAGGACAGCAGCCAGCAGGTGGCAGCAAACTGAAGTAGGAGCAGGACCCACTCGGATTGTGCCACTAGATGCTTGACTGGCTGGGCAGGTTCACTCAGGCCAGCCCATTAGCCTTAGCGTAACACAACTGTGTCTGTTACACAACTGAATTTTTAGGACCCTGAGCATGGTGTTACAGAGGTCTTCTTTTACACAAAATTTACCGTGATATTTAGAACTACACTAAATACGACAAAATGAAATATGAAGTATTGATTTTTGGAAGATGCAGAACTTGAGACATTCAACAGCATACGCTTTCCTGATTTTGTCCATAGACTCATTTGACAATGTCCCCATTTAGACCTTGTGTTTGTGATCACTGTTCACCTTAGGGCTTCTCTTGCCCGAGGGTTCTTAGAGCTTTAGCGGTGGCTTGTGGTGTGATTGAGAAACGGTGTGAAGATGGCAGTGTTTTATTAACACTCTATCAATCTTGCCTATAAGGGCAGGGATAGGGGAAGGTGGTCAGGGAAGTTATAGTAGGGGATTAAAGCATAAATGTAGCATGAATTCTCGCTTGCAGTTTGGGGATGATAGGCAGTAGAGAACCACATTCCTTCTCCTGCGGGTGTTAGCTGAGTGGTGGTCTATGAAGATGAGTTTATTCTATTAGGCTACAAGGAGCACAGCAGAGAAATGACTTTGGTTCATCTGTATTTATGATGGCTGGAACAACACTCTTCCACCCACTCCCTCTCACCCTGCAGTGTGCTTGTAATGTGGAGGAAATCCAGTTCTTATGCAATTGAGGATTATTATATATTTTTCATTTTACTTTTCCAGAAGGAAAGTGACTTAATTTGTGAACAATCAAGAGTTGAAATTCTGCCTTACCTTGGTCACAGTAGATTCCAGTGGTTCCCAGAGGACAGTAACAGGTGTATCCATGGGGCAGTGAAACACAAGTTGCCCCTTTGCTACAGTTGTGTGGAGGGTCATGTTCAGGGTCACAGGTGGAAATGGTCTCTGTGCAGAATTCTCCTTTCCACCCAGGGGGACAATCACAGCTGTAGGTTGAGAAAGAAGGTCACATGGCTTGAACACTTGAACAGAGATGGGTATAAACTTGCTGATGTTAAGTTGGCAGTTTTGACCAAGGTTCCAAGATAGAAAAGATTCTGTACATCAAAGCAAATTGTGATTCAAACTACTAAGAGCCAAACTGTCAAAAGAAAGAGCCAATAACTGATTATAGGATTACTGGACTCCAGATAAAAAAAAGATTTTTAAAAAGTTCAGCACATGGAAGTTGAAGGAGACTTTAGAGAATAATTTCTTTGGACAAAACAGCATAGTAAGACCCTCTCCCTGCCTGACATCAACACCAGGGGAGAGGCTGTTAACAAAGTCTCTGCCTCCTAAACTTGAGCCTACAGAAAGAAATTCAGCTTGATATATGTTCCCTCACCTTGGTGAACACATAGATCCAGCTCCTGGGGCTGGAGAAGGAAAACTGCCCCTCCAGAGATGAGGCAAATAGCAGTGAATCCCAGGAACGGGTTGTGGCCCTCTGAGTTAGGATCAGCTTGCAGACATACAAAAGGGATCTTGCCCAGAGGGTATCTTGGTAGCTGAAGAAACCTCAGCAGCAGTTAGAGGCAGTTAGTAAATGGCCAGAGCAGAATCTGAGAGATAAAGAGGACATCCTGTTTTGAAAACAGACTGTGTCTGGATTTAGAGAGTGATATTGGGGGGAGCCACACAGGAGAGTGATGGACCGGCCCACTAAATGTAGAGATGCCAGATAAAATGTAAGGAATTTAATTAAGTTTGAATGTCAGATAGACAATGAATAATTTTTCAGTATGTCCCATGCAATGTTTGAATTTCAGATAAGCAACATTTGAGATATACTAAAAATTATCTGTGGTCTGTCTGGAATTCAAATTTATCTGGGTGTCCTGTATTTCCCCCACCGCCAAAAAAATCTGGAAACCTTACATACCAGGGGCACATGAGAGAAAAGGGTTACTTTTCATCCCTGCCAGGCCTAGGGGAACACTAAACCATTAGACAATGGTGCAAGTCAAGGAAGTCCATTCCAGGAGGTGGTGTGTGGCACCGAGTCAGAAACCACCATACTGGGAAAAGACAGCAGTAGCAGATCACACCTCTTTTGGAGACCTTTTGTTCATGTGGTAAGCCCTGGCTGACTTTAAGCCAACAGTCACGGACAGTGACGTGTTGTTACTATTTTGAAGTGAACCCTTTGAATGACTGAATGGAGAGTGTATTTGCAAATTAAAGTGTCTATTAGCTAAGCTGGAGCAGAAAATTCAATGGATCTCCCATGTTTTAGTTCAGCTCCAAGAAAAGGATGACTCCTAAGCAGGTTTAAAATGACAGCGAGAAACAAAAGTAAATTTACTTTATGAATAGATCCATGAACCTGGGGTCAAACTGACTTGTCCTCAGCTCATTACAATGGCTTTTAATTAATGGCAAGCTGTAAACACAGATGACATTAACAGCGCTGCTGGAATTGTTGAAAAATCACTTACAGTATAATTCCCAAAATGAGCAAGTCAAGATAAGACAGGTAGAAAACAGAAATATCTTCCGTTTTCTTTTTTCTTTAGGCTGGAAGAATCCTCACAGTCTCTGAGGATTAAAGGCAGCTCATGCAGTCTACACTAGTGGATCACCCAGGACATGACAATATATGTCAGTATCAACATGTGGCCCATTATATGCCACATGGAGGGGAAAGTAAGGACGATGAACACTCTTTCTACAAACATATTTAACAACCTTTATGATTTTATAGAAACAACAGGTAAGACCTTCATAAAATTGGGATTAAACCCAAAGGAGAAAATCAAAATCACTTGTAACTTCTGATCACAGGAAGGCTGACATTTTTTGAGCACTTGGCAAGTATCTTTCCACTACTTCCTCTAAGCAAATTTTAACATTAAAAGCGCTGGTAAATTGGATATTTACATGTTAAAGAATGAAACTAGACTCCTATTTTAACCACTTAAAAAAATTAACTCAAACCGGATTAAAGAATTAAATGTAAGACCTGAAACTGTAAAACTCCTAGAAGAAAACAGGGTTTTCAGTTTTCCTTTTCTTAAAACATTATATAAATGTAATGATATTACTGCCTTTCCTTCAGGATTACGTATTTGGGATCACCCATGCTGATGCACGTAGCCGCTGCATTCGTTGTCAATACCGCATAACCTGATGAACAGAAGTTCCTATCTTTTGTGTAGTTGAAATTTTAATGTTTTCTTTTATGGCTTGCATTTTTTAATGACTTATTTAAGAAAGCTTTCCCTACTTTGAGGTCAGAAAATTATTATTTTATGTTGTCTCCTCAAACTACTATTTTTATCTTTTACATTTAAGTCTTAATACATTGGAAATTATTTTTTGTGTTTGAGGTGGGGTTAGAGATCCAATTACAGTTTTTCACATGGATGACCAATAGTTTTAGTTTTCTTCTCTGACGAGTTCATCCTTTTCCACGCATGAGCTCTGTCCATGTGTGCCCTGTCCTGCGCCTCTCCATCCTGTTCCTTCAGTCCATCTGCTTTTTTAAAAATTTTTTAAAAATTTACTTGACAGACAGAGATCACAAGTAGGCAGAGAGGCAGTCAGAGAGAGAGGAGGAAGCAGGCTCCCCGCTGAGCAGAGATCCCGATGTGGGGCTCCATCCCAGGACCCTGAGATCACGACCTGAGCTGAAGGCAGAGGCTCTAACCCACTGAGCCACCCAGGCGCCCCCCCTTCAGTCCATCTGTCTAACCTTGCACCAATATCACATTGTCTTAATTTCTCCTGCTTTTCTAATAAGTCTTGATAATTAGAAAGGCAAGCTCTGCTCTCTTGTTTTTCTGTTCAGGATTGTCTTGATTATTCTTAGCTCTTTGCTCTTGTACATCTTTCCCTTCAAACTAATCCCAAGTTCAAGACAGGCAAATTTTCCTTGTCTAAAACAAGGCTCATTTTTCTTTTGTTCTTACATTGACCGTGTGGCTTGTAGGAGTCCCAGGCCTGTGAGGAGTTTGCTATTAGATCCCCTACCTCAGGCATCCTTAGCCTCTAAAGCATATCCACTATAAACTGTGCAGCCCTCAAAGGTAAGTTCAGACATGCTTCACCTTTTAGCAGGAACTCAAGGCAAAAGCCGACTTTGATGCTTACTTTCTAGAGTCTGGCTTTCATTTCATTTGGAATCTATAGATGTATTGTTTTCCCTTCAGGTAACAGTGTTCTGAATGTATATACTTCACATTTTATTTGGATTTCAACATTTTCATTTGTAAGGGTCATTCAAGATGTGTAATACCCTATAGTTCCACAAACAGAACTCCTTATTCCATATTCATTAACTTCTCTACAACCTCACATTGAGTGGTTGAATGTTATTTCATGAGTTCATAAAATATACTTTATTCTTATAGTCACTTGTGAGATATTATGTTTTTAATTTTTTACTGTCTACAAATAACTCTTATAATTAAATCTTTGTGCACATCTTGATCATTTCCTTTGGATAAATTTAAATATCATCATGACTTCTAGGCTTTGAACACATATTCCAACCTGCCCTCATAATAATTGTACCAATTTACATTCCCATCGTCAATGAATGAGAATGCTCCTGAAATAATAGATGTGTATATACTAAAAAATATGAAATATTTTATGGACTTCTTTTTTATTAATCCGATTATTTTCTTTCTTTCTTTCTTTCTTTCTTTCTTTCTTTCTTTCTTTCTCTTTCTTCCTTTCTTTCTTTCTTTCTTTCTTTCTTTCTTTCTTTCTTTCTTTCTTTCTTTCTTTCTTTCTTTCTTTTAAAGATCTTATTTATTTATTTGACAAAGAGACAGCAAGAGAGGGAATACAAGCAGGGGGAGTGGGAGAGGGAGAAGCAGGCTTCCCGCCAAGCAGGGAGCACGATGCGGGGCTTGATCCCAGGATCCTGGGATCATGACCTGAGTCAAAGGCAGATGCTTAACAACCGAGTCACCCAGGCGCCCCCAATAATTATTTCTTAAGATAAAATGACTTCGTGTCTGCCTATACATATTTACCAAGAACATATTCATTTCAAACTCCTATATTTTCCTATATTATTTGGCAGTCTAATCACATTTATGCTTCACCAAAATTCATTTTATCAACTTAAATTTTTTTCAGTATTTACTGTGTGCACAGCACAGCATTGTCATAGGTCATAAAGGACAGGCAGAAGATGTATAAGGAGTGAGCTCTGGCCTCGGCAGAGATATACGGGAATAAAGCACCATGGGCTCCATATGCCGAGGAACCCATTGAGTGGCACAGAGAAGTGCTGTCAGATCCAAAAACCAGCAGGGGGAACAACTCCGGGAAAAAAATTAACATTACCGCCACATGTTCATCAATGCTCTGTGACGTTGGTGCTGGGGGGTATTCAAAACAACAATTCTCAGCTCTTCGGAACTCAGAGACCTAGGCACATACACAGAGTAGTAAAAAAAGCAAACGACAGTTTCTGAGGATATTGCCATTTCATTAAATAGAGTGATTAGCTCAGTCCTGATTGAAAAAAAAATTATCTGATTATTGTATCTAAGTTAACATTTGTGCAAAAAAATATTTGAAAAGTTGCATAAGGTTCTCCAGAATGGAGAGAAACAAAATACAGATTTAATCTGCTACAAAATTACATACTGATTTGAGTTACTGTTTGAAGAGCACAAAGGTCATGAAATATGTAAGGACATTTTCTACAAAAATAGATGGTCTTCTGGCTCACAGTCCTCTCTTCCGGCCTTCCCAGGGAAGGCCCCTGCGCTGGGTGGCCTGTGCAGGGATGCCTCACGTCGGGGTGCGTTGCTGTCTTCCCACGGGGAACTAGGTCAGCACAGGCATCCTACTGTGTGCAACCTTCTAAATGTACCTATAGACCTTCAGATTTGAAAAAACTGCTTTGGTTGGATGGTTTTGACACGTTTCAAGTGGCATTTTGTACAATGGAATTTAGAATTCAGGAATGTAAAGTGCGTGT